AGGCTTTCTGTTGGATAAGAAAATTGGAGTAAATCAACCAAAACGAATTGAAAATGCTAAAATTCTTATTGCAAATACTGGTATGGATACAGACAAAATAAAGATATTTGGTTCCCGGGTAAGAGTTGATTCTACAGCAAAGGTTGCAGAAATAGAACATGCAGAAAAGGAAAAAATGAAGGAGAAAGTTGAACGTATTCTTAAGCATGGAATAAATTGCTTCATTAACAGGTCTGTGTTTGCTTGCAAGAAAGGATTTTTTTAAATGAAAATGTAAGGAATAGTTTACTTACGTTGAATTAGTGATTTGTTACTTAGGAACTGCTGTACATAACTTCACTTAAATTATGGATTTTCATAATCAGTAAATTATGATTTATACACATGGTGGCCAGAATTATGGGATCAATGTATACAGTTACTTTAATAAAGAACACCTGTTTTCAGTGCTAGCATGGATGTGTTAGTATCATAATTGATAAATTCCAATTATACAGGTAAGAAGTGCAGTCTTGTTCTAATGTAAAAATGTTTACATGTTTTTAGTCTAACGTAGTTTATCTTGTAACAGTTTTGAGCATAATGTTTTTATGTATTTTATTTACAGGCAGTTAATTTATAATTATCCTGAACAGCTCTTCGGTGCTGCTGGTGTCATGGCTATTGAGCATGCAGATTTTGCAGGTGTGGAACGCCTAGCTCTTGTTACAGGTATGGAAAAAAGGTATTTTTTTTAGAAAAAGGTATTGCTTTCTAACGAACACAGTAGTCACTCTTGGATTTATTATTTGTTACTATATACAATTTGCTGAGAAAACAAATGAGTCTCTTTAAGGAGTTAGAATTTCAACAGTTATTCTGAAATCTAGTTCATACTCTTCAGTACCTTTAATGTAGATACATTATATTTACTATACCAAATTATATGCCACATTTGCCATTGGCACAGATTTTTTTCATTGTGTCATTGTTTTAAAGGTAGATTTTTGGCTGGGTGCAGTTGCTTATGCCTGTAATCCCAGCACTTGGGGAGGCTAAGGCAGGCAGATCAGTTGAGCTCAGGAGTTTGAAACTAACCTGGGCAACATGGTGAAACCTGTTCCTACCAAAAAAAAAAAAATTAGCCAGATGTGGTGGCAAGCACTGTGAGCGCAGCTGTTTGGGAGGCTGAAGCATGAGAATTGCTTGAGCCCAGGAGGTGGAGATTGCAGTGAGCTGAGATCATGCCACTGTGCTCCAGCCTTGGCAACAGAGTGAGACCCTGTCTCAAAAAAAAAAGTTTTTTTTTTTTTGGGTGGGGCGGGGACGGAGTTTCGCTCTTGTTACCCAGGCTGGAGTGCAATGGCGCGATCTCGGCTCACTGCAACCTCCGCCTCCTGGGTTCAAGCAATTCTCCTGCCTCAGCCTCCTGAGTA